CACTGACCAACAAAACGCTAGCAGAGCCGTATGCCAGAGTGGGAGTCATTAAACAAAATAGTAATGATCCTCCTGGGGAATAAGTTCTGCAGCTCCTCGCCTGGCTGGGGCAATTTTGTTTCAAGCATCCTCTGTTTTCCCTGGGGGAGAATCTCTCTCTCTCAACACTGGCATTCCCTTTGTTCCACACTGGGACAAGTGAGTGGCCCGTCATACTGTCATCTTGTGCCGTGTAGGGGGATGTAGTGAGACGTCTTTGTCCCACTGGCATAGGGAAGTTGCTTCAGAAGCACCCCATCCCATGAAGGAATTCCCATATTACAGATTCCCTGGTGCACCCTGGGAAAGAGGGGAGGATGGGTGGGGGGACGACTACCAGACTGTTCTGTTGGGCTGGAGGGGAGCAATCAGGAGTTCCTTCTTTGCTCTGATGGGAGAAAGGAGCCTCTAGTTGTCCCTGGCTCTCACTGGAGGGGAAAGAGCCTATTGTTGTATTGCCTTCGGCCACCTTGGGTGTGTGAGACACAGAGGGAGCAGGGGGATGAGGAAATCATTTTGCATAGTTACTTGTGAAGTTAGCTATACCTGGTTAGCATTTGGCCCAACGAGAATGCTCATACCAAAACCAAGAAGATCTTTGCTAACTTGACATGAATGAGAAAACCCAGGGAGCACCTGGCAGCGCAAACGGAAGGGCAGGGAGCTCGGCTGGGCTGGGGATCGTTATATGGCAGTTTGCCATACTACAGGCTGAATTAACATAGTTGAAAGGTAGGAACAGCAACCTCATTCCTAATGAGGTGCTGGGTGGAGGGGAAGGGAAGAATCCACAAATCATAATTCAGTTAGGGCAGCATCTTGTCTGAAGTGAATCAATTGTACTGTATTTAGTCATCAGTCAGTACTGCTTCCACCCCTTCCCCGAGCTAGCAGCATGTTGGCAATGCCTAGGAACCACTCCAGGTTGCACTGAATCTAGTGTGCAGTGCAGCCACGCCTCTAAGACAGCAGGCCAAATCCAGGGCTGTGGTGCCTCTGACTTCAGCAGTTATGGCAGGAGTGTGTTGAGCTCCCTACGCCCAAATATTTGTCTTTCTTCCCTATTTAGAACCTCTAAACTTAGGGGTGTTGGAACAATTTGTACAGTGGGGGTGCTGAGAGCCATTGAACCAAACTGTAAACCCTGTATATGATGGAAACCGCTTCAAGCCAGAGGGTGCTCTTGAAGGTGTGGGTTTTTTGCATCTTCCCTGTGTGGGGAAACTGTTTCCCTATGTGTGGGAACTGTGGGGGAGGGTGGTGGGGATGCAGGACTGGAGTTCCCAGCCTTGCAGATGTATTAAGGGGAAGCCTCTGGTTGTGTCTTTGTGCTAGAGCAGAGGGAAAAGTGGAAAGCTGTGGCTAAGGAGTACACAGCACAACACGGGGGAGGGGGAGGGAACAAAAGGTGGGTTTAAATCCATCTTTGCCCTCCTCCAGCCCGGTTTTCTCTGAGCTTTGCCAAGCTCTGAGATTTCCCAAGTAACCAGTCCAGTAGCTGAGGATTGTCCGAGCAGAGGGAAGCCACGCCAGCTCTGTGCCACCTGCCTGTGGGATGATTCATCCATTACCAGCTACGGCTCCTATTGGGCTGCCTTCTGCCAGCAGTCCAGTGTAACAGGCACAATGCACAGCCCAGGAGCTGGGCCAGTCATTCCCATGCAGAAGGAAATGATGAGTCCCACATGGCACGTTGGCAGTCCCCTCATGCTCGCTGGAGCTGGCCAGCATGAATATGCATTCCTAGATGGCTGTACACAGGGATTCTTGAATATTGGCCCAAAGGACATGTCAGATTGTTGATTTTACAGTGTGCACACACAGGTTAGCTACACGTGTGCCATCCCATCAGTGACCAGAATCAGTGGCAGTGCCATGTAATTATATAAAATTTACCAGCACCATGCGGACTGTGAATATTCACCACACACTGCTCACCCCGCCCCCCCACTTACTGAAAAAGCTCACTCCTGGTTTGAGTAAAAGATGAGAGTTTCACAAACAATTCAAACTGTTAGCTTGGAGGCGGGGGGGGGAGGGAGGGAATGAAATCCATTGGATTGCTTCTGTGCTGGGAATTGCTTGGGTGGCTCTGGGAACCCATTAACTTCTCAGGGTGGGCCATGCGCTCTGCTCCCTTGGGGAGTTGGAAGACAATGTCAATGGGATCGCTCTAAGGGATCTGGTAAGACCATACTGAAACCACCAGTTATAATTCAATTCCCTGGTGAGATCAGTGCTGTGTGGAGCAAAGGTGATTGGAGACACAGCAGACAGGAAATCTAAATGTTAACAGGGTCCTAACAGCTGTTTGGGTTTGAAATAAACCCAACCCACCCATCCACCCCCTTTTTTTAAAATCCCAGTTTCACTCTGCCTTCTGAAGCAGGCCTGTGCTCTAAGGTTCTTGTCTGCACCCCCTACCAAACTGAGCTTGCTTTCTAGCAGGGGTGATCATTCTGCTTAAAAAGAAAACTCAGGTGTTGTGGTTTATTATTTATGACAGTAGCACTTTGGGGCCCACTGTGCCCAGCGCTGTCCAACTATACCCTGGAAACAGCTCCAGCCTTAATGAATCTATAATTTAAGTTTTAAAGACCACATCTGGAAGTGGGCTCAGTGGGGCTTCTGGTGGATTGGGGGCCACTGATAGAGAGCATTAAAACAATGTTTTCAGGAGCGGCCCCTGACTTGGGTGGGCCTCTGCTTTTGGGTGACCAACTCCAGACACCTGGGCCTGGTTTTTCAGAGATGCTGTACACTGGTGATAGCTTTTGGTGCTGTCTGGAGTCCTGGAGGCTCAGCGCCTCTGGAAAGGAGGCTAAGGTTTCCAAAGCTGGGCAGGAGGTGAGGGGATTGTAAGTGTGAAAAATCGGAACACTTCTTTTGTGGGCGGATACTTATGTCTCTAAGACCAAGTCCCTAATCTGTGGAGGTCTGCTCACCCTCCTTGGCACGCACGAACTGAAGCACTGGAGGTCAGTGGCCAGGTGCTGGCCCCAGTGACCCCCCTCGTTGCTGGGAGGGTGCTCGAGGCAGCGTTGGCACATCTGGCGCTGGCTGGCGGATGTGAAGGGTGGCGATGGGATCCCGTGGAGCGGGGGCCGGAGCTAGAGCCCATCCGAGGCAGCCAGGGACAGAGGGCGCCCGGCTTTGGCTCGCGCCGGCGCTGGGGACGCGCAAGGCTTAGAGCGCAGAGCCTCAGCCAGCAGCAGCCAAACCCGCCCGGGCCCCCTCCGGCGCGGCGGGTGAGTTGGTGCCCAGCAGGGCCCGTGCCGGGAGCCCGGGCGGCCAGGCAGAGGAGGGGCGGCTCCCTGCGCGGGGCGCGTGCTGCTGGCTCCGGGGCCGCTTTGCTGGGCAGCCGGCAGGTTCCCCGGAGCGGGCAGAGGGGCTGTGGCGCCCAGGGCGGTGTGTGTGTGTGTGTGTGTGGGGGGGGGGGGGGTTGCTTTAAATCCCTGCCCGGGCTCAGCGCTTGGGGGCTGCCTGGCCAGGGAGGGGTCTCCCCACGTGGCCCTTCGGGGAGAAGGGAGAGTAGCGCGAGCCAGCCAGGCAGCAGCTCCCTGGAGCGGACTCCACTTCGCTTCTTTGTTCCCTCCAGAGCGCTCGCCCTCCCCCCGCGCCTCCTTCCCGCGGCTCCGTCGCTCGCTCGCCCAAAGAAAGGCGCCGGGTGGATTTTTGCCATTGGCTCCCTGAGCGCTAACGGACGCGGGGCTGCGGAGCCGCCGCAGCTTCCTCGCCGGCCCCGGTGGCTGCATCCCCCCGCCCTGCGCCGGGGCGGGACTGGGGGGTGCGCCTTGCTCCACGCGCGCCAGAGAGCCGCTGGGCGGCTGAGGCAGAAGATGGAGCCCCTGGCGAGGAAGTTCAGCGCTCGGCTCTAGCGGGGCCGGCCTGCCGCCTGTGCTCCCCGCGCCCTGTTGCTCGCGCCGCCCGGCTGCATGGCCCGATGGCAAGGCTTGGAGGCGCGGAGGCTCTGAGCCGCCGGAGCAGAGGGGGCTCTGGCGCGGCTCCTGCGCGGAGTTAAAGGCGGCAGCCGGGGATCGGACCTGGCCTTTTGGTTTGCAACAAAGACCCGAGACGATGCTGCGCCTGGTTTAACCCCCGGCTCCGGGGTGGAGCGCGCGGATGCTGCCTAGGGGCTGCGCCAAGGGACTCAGCCTCTCCGCCGCTTCCCCCCCAGCTCCGCAAGCTGTTACCCTCCGGGACAGCCGTCTGCCTGCAGCCTGCCTGCTCCCTGCCCAGGCGGCGGGGCGGTCGGGAGAACAGCTCTGTCTCGCGGGCGGCCAGATCTAAAGCATGCCTCGGGGCTGGTTTTGAAAGGCAGAGGAATGGAGGAGACCCAGAGCGCTGGCCATTAGACTGAGCAGCTCAGAGCGGGGGATTGCCGACTGGGACCGCTTCACCCCCCTTCCCCCTCCTCCGGCTCTGTTGCTTGGTAGTTGGTGGGTGCCTTGATTGGATCGCCTCTCTGTTTTCTTCCAGGATGGCTCGCTTTGGGGAGGCGGTGGCTGGCCGCCTGGGACCCGGAGATGCGGGCTCTGAGCAGAACAGGATCCGCCAGGGACCCCCCGCGCCTTCCGGAGCGACCCCGGGAGCCTTCAAGCAAACCAAAGCGCAGAGGGCAAGGACTATGGCTCTGTACAACCCCATCCCAGTCCGACAGAACTGCTTCACAGTCAACAGATCCCTCTTCCTCTTTGGGGAAGATAACATGGTCAGGAAATACGCCAAGAAGCTCATCGACTGGCCATATCCTTTCCCTCCTCATTGCCCTGGGGAAACCCCTTGCTTTTCGTGCCCGGATTTGCATCGGTGCAATTCCACACCACATGTGTGTTGCATTAGCTGGCAGGCACGCAGCAGTGTGTCTAAGGTAAGCGCCTGCCTTCTGCTTTCAGTCCAGAATCTTTGGCACATGGAGGCAGAGTGCCTGGGGTAATCGGGTGCGCTCCTCTCCACCCCCTGTCCCCCTCCAGGCTTGCATTAATTTCGGTTTTCAGGCTGTCTCTTTCTCCCCTTTCCTGGGCTTGGCAGGGAGAGCGGAAGCTGAGTGTGTTGTCTCCTCGGGAATAAAGGCTCCAGTTAGTTGACTTAAGAACTCTGGGCTAGAATCAAATTGGTCCCTGCAACTGACTCCAGAGACTCAGTTTTGGATCACCCATGGAGTCATGTCTGGCGAGGAAGCTTGGGTGCGGGTGTGTGTGTGTGTCCGAGTTCGGACCTACAACCAACTCACAGCTCAGCTCCTCAGCTTCTCCTCCAACTCTGTAGACACGCAGAGAAACTTAACAGGGGTCCCCCTTAGCTCATTGATGACTCTTCCCTCCTTCTCCCCAAGCCTCAAAGGTCTTGAAATCCTTTTGCTCTTTGTTACTTGCTGGAATGGAGGAGGCATTGTGGAGAGTGGATTCTGTGTTTCACTTTATGGGAACAGACCCCTCCTTGATTCTGCAGGACTCTGCTTCCTGGTATGTTGCCTTCTAATAAATGCTTCATTTTATCCTCTCTCCCAGGGGCTCCCATGCCCTCCCCAGGCCCCCACTGAGACACACAGGAAAACTCTGCCTTTTTCAGTGCTGTGCTGGAACTGCTAAGGGATGGCTACACTGTTTTGGCACCCAACGGCCCAGGGTGCACAAGAAACTAGGTTGCTGCCACTTGTGGCAGAGTGAGATGCTGAAAATTTCTGGAGGAGGCCTCCTCCACTCCCCCCTCCTCTATTGGGCTTGAGTACCAGAGCTGAGGTCAGCTGCCTAATCTTAGGTGGTGAGTTATATGGGCCCGTGGTGCCCCTGCTCCACCAATATTCAGGAACATGGGCCCGGCTCCACCAATGTTTGAGCTTATATTTAATCAGAGCCATCCTATCCATAAGGCAGGCGGGGCAAGCACCCAGGGCTCCGTGCTTTGGGGAGCCCCAAGCTTCAGGGTACTTGGGATCCAGGGCAGCCTGGGGGTAGACAGGGGGCCTGGCACCGGCAGCAGTGGGGGGCCTGGTGCTGACCTGCCCTGCTCTGCCCTGCCCCCACTCCACCTCTTTCCCCAAGCTCCCGCCCTGCCTCTTCCCCCATTCCACCCCTTCCCCCAAGCCCCTGCCCTATCTCTTTCCAGCTTCCACCCCCTCCCCCGAGCGATGCCAGGAGCTGGTGGAGTGGGGTGGGCTGGGGCTGGGTCGCTTGCTGCTGGTGGTGCCAGGCCCCCCAGTGACCCCTCAGGCTGCCCTAGACCCCACATCCCTCTGAAGTGTGGGACCCCTCAAAGTGCGGGGGCAGGGCCGGTCAGTCCTGGCTCTGCTTGGACCCATTCTGGGCACCAGCAAAAATTATACAAACCTGGCGCCCATGGGCAGGGGAGTGCAAATCCCTTGGGTGGGTTCAGGGCCTCAAGAAGCTTGTGCACTGCTGTCCAGCTTCTCCCCAACCAGAGTGGGTATTGCTGTTTCCCCTCCTCAGCCATCCCCCCTTCCCTGGCTTCACCCCCCCCAGCTGCTGTTCTGTGGGTGCTCCCCATGCCCCCACTGCTCAGCCCCATGCAGAGCTTCTGAGCTGCTGGCGGCCCCTCTTCTGAAGGACGCCCCCCTTACAGCCTCTCTGACAGCTCTGTGGTATCCAACACTGCTGAGAACTCTGCCTGGGGTTACCCCAGGAGCCCCTCCCTTGTGTCCAGCGCCGGGCACTGGCTCAGAGAGCTCTCCTCTCCTTCCGTGTGTACCCGCAGGGAGCTCCTAGTACCGCCGCAGAGATCTCCCCCTCCCTCCTAGGCAGCAGCCCAGTCTCCACCCTCCTCATCAGCCCTTCTCCAACGCACGCGTTCAGCACCATAGACAGCTCCCCAGCGCGCGGCGTTCCTACCGGCACTGCGTGGCGCTCGCCGGGAGATTCTGGCCAGGGCACGGGTACAGCTGCTGCTGATGCTTCAGCCGGGACAGTTCCCTCTTCGTGGTCAGCCGTGTGCCAGGAAGGACGCCCTCTGTAAAGTGTTGGCAGCACAATGGAACCTCTGGGCTCACCCTGCATCGCTTGCTGTCCAATGTATTGGAGAAGGAAGATTTTTGTGTAGGGTTGGGTGGGATGCAGGGCACCCTGGAAATTTTGCAGTAGGATGTGGTAGATGGGTTGCTTTCACACTGCTCTCTTCATAGCCTCTTCGGTGCAGAAGGGAGCCAAGCTGACAAGCTTAGAGCTGGCCATGTTCACTTTTTAACTCTGCCCTATATTTTGCACTTGCAGTGACAAATATCCATAGTTTCGGCCATTACTTTTCTCCCCGGACACACTACTTGGCTTGCTTGAGGGAGCTGACGACTCCTTGCTTGGATGTAAAGGAACTTGCCCTGGTACCAAATGAAAATTCCCTTCATCCACTGCAAAGGGCTGTTTTTAGAAAGGCTAGAATATAAAAGGAGGCTAGAGGGACTGATTGAACAAAAATATGCCAAGAAAATAGTCCTGTTAACACCGAGGCCCCAATTCAGCAAAACTCTTAAGCACATGCTCAAGTGCTTTGCTGAAATGGGGCCAATCCCCCTGAGTGACATGATGAAAGATGTTAGGCCATTGGCGGTGCACACAAGGTAGTTAAGGCAAATGAAAGGGCTTTTTGTTATTGAAGGAGCTGCTTAAGTCTATTAAATACTTCAGATGCTTTATGACAGGTTTAAATCTCATTCTCCTAACTATCCATATAATGTATTACTCATCTCTGCAGTCTGGGCTGAGGTGTCTGATCACAAGCGTCAAGAGATATCTAGAGCCCAGGAACATCTGTGCAAATTTCTTTGGGTCACCGCATGCCATTTCTTAGATGAATAAGCCTCATTTTCCAAAATATGCCAAATTATTCATAAGCTTTGTTTTCTGAGATGGAGGGAGGGGCTAATTAATTTGCTTTATCATCATTTATTTGTATGCTGCTGATGGCTGGAATCCCCAAGTGGGTCCCCTTGTATTAGGTGCTGTACACATACATAATATAAAAACAGTCTCTGCCCCATACAGCTTATATTCATAGTGCTTTCCCACTATACTTAACCTCCCCACACACATTATTCTTCCCAAGAATTTACAAAGCATGACCGTAGTTTAGCTTTTAGTTACATTTGTCAAAGTAAATGCTATATTCCCATGCAAATAGTAGCCACAGTTCTAATTTAAATATTGGAATCCTGGTCTCCTTCTGATCACTTGTCCATTGAACAGATGGAACAAATGAAGGTCTCCTCTTTCCAGGGAACTCATCGACCTGAAAGCATTCATGCTGTTCTTCAGCACATTACCTGGTAGCTTCTGCTATCTCTTACGTTGATGGGGTTTTTTACAGTAACCTTGTACAATAAATGTGTGTCTTGGACAGAGTGGAATATGCACTGAGAATGAAAACTGAAATGCGGTTAGAGGCAAAGCGCCAATGCTGTGAACATTTAATCTTTTCAATCTGTCAGCATAATACTGTGATCCTTCTGTTTTAGACAGCATGGAAGTACCATCATCTTGTGCTGTGGCAAAATGTCTGGAATGACAGGACAGTTTATATTGCTCTTCAGTGGAGTGAGAGCTCAAAGTGCAATAATTTAGGACAGGGCTAAGCTTATAATGAGGGGGCATGGTAATTGCATACTATTATCAGATAATGTAAAATACTTGTTATTTTCTCCTTGTAATTGTACACTGGTGCAATCAGTTAAAAGGGATAAAAGTGCCTTTAACCAGTGCTACTGACTTCAAACAGTTGTGTGAGTGTCTCCACACTCTACAGCAAAGCCTGCTGTTTGAATCCCAGAACCGCCTCTGAGCTTGCAATCAAACTAGTTGATGGAGGAGAGTATTAGATCTTGACCACAGTAAATGAGAGGGTGACTTGCCCAAGGTAGGAGGCTGGCTATTTTCAGCGGTGATTGGTGCTGGTTATCACAGGGATAACACAGAGGAAAACCAACTTGGATCAGGAAGGTGGGGGGAGGAGAGGTGCCTTCTTTATCAAAATCCAGTTGACTAGGTAATAGGGATAAAAATAACCTGGTGATTCAGGCCTGTATATCTGCTGGGTAAATGTGTAATTATAACCAGCAGCCTCTTCAGTTTTGCTTTTCAGTGTAAACAGGGATGATACATAAGGAGGAAGAAAGAGAAATATGAGACAAGGGCTTTCTTTTCTTGTGGGGGATCCAATCCTCAGTCATACAAAACTGAAAACCAGATTTATTAGTTCAGGTGGAATTGCCCCTTTTTTGCTGTTAGTGTGCAAAATACTGAACAGGAGCTGGTTGTATTTTAGCTGGAGGAGCATTAGAATTGTTTTTCTTAAGTCATTTTAAAAATTCAAATGAAAATTGAATTACATCTGTTAAAAACAAAGCCCCATTTCTGCTCCCTTGACTGCACTTGTTCTGTCAGGGGAGCAGCTGTCAATGCCCAGACCTCCTGTTTTTATTTCATTTGCCTGGCTGCCTGGAGAACTACAATTCAGTTAGTGTGAGATGGGAAGCAGCTTATCAATATCTGCTCAATTCATCTTCTATTAATCAGGTTTGACCACAACTCGACCAACTCCCACCTCTGAAAAAAGAAAGTGGGAGGGAAAAGCAACCAAAAGGTGTGTTATGATTATGGCTCCTTTTCCCAAGGACTGACTCCTGTGCATCTTCATGAATTATGCATTGGCCGTGCAGGCTTTCCGAGGAATACTTGGTGAATGCTGACATGCAAAGCTGTTGGGCTGATCTGGTGGTGCATGAGAGCTACTGCAGAGGGTCCGCTGGAGAAATATCCTGGTATTTTATTTTTTAACCCCCGTGTTGCTACCTAGGGGCTTGATTCTGCAAGGTTCTAAGCACTCTGGCCCTGATCCAGCAAAGCAGTTGAGCATGTGCTTAAACTTTAAGCATGTGAGTTGTCCCATTGGCTTCAGCGAGGCCCTTATGGTAGAGGAAAGACAGCTGTAGAAATCTCCTGTTTTGATAGCCATCTTTCTTCTGCCATACTTCTCTGAAAGAGAGACCAAACCGATGGGTATGAATAAGAAGAGAATTTATTCTCTTCTGCCTCATCTTCCACCCTCAGCTTGTCTGGACACCTGTGCGGTAAATAGTGGGCACTTTTTCTGCAGGTATCTTATCCCAAGAGAGAAACAGAATCTCTTTGTGTGTGATCTGCTGGTCCCTGGTTCCAGTCCCCTTTCTTCTTCTCTCCTGGTATCCCTGTTAATTCAATAAACAGCAGGGGGCACAGGGTCCCCTTGATGCTTGTATGTATCCCCTTGTTAATATTTATCTATCCACACTGAGGGGGAGAATGGCCTTCCTTGAGACTTGCTTCTGACTCTCTCTTCTCCAACATCCCTATGCTAATCAAGGCCATAACTCTCTATGCAGCAATCGCTTAATTCAAACCCCCTCCCACCAGGAACCCTGTGCCAGTCTGGGACAGAATGGCGGTGAATTTCCACATAGTTGTAATTTACAAGATAGCTGTAATTCAAAGACATCCCAGTTGCATTTCCATTAGTACTGCGTTCCGAACCAGCGACAGAGCTAAGTTTTGGACATAGCAGCCTAGCTGTCCCTTCACGAGACTGGAATTGGAAATAGTCTGTGGATTTTGTTCTGTAGGAGATGCACATGGTTTAATTTTCTGCTCACATCACTGATACACAGACTGAGGACGCATTCCTGTTTGCTGGCTGCATTGGCACTGCCCACTGAAAGCCAACAACGCCAGAAAGGAGCCTCATTGAGACGTATTAGATTGTTCAGATGAAGGACAGTTGTGTTGATTGTGGTTGTCTAAAACCTCAGAAAGTGCTAGTTAACCCTGTTCGACTCAGGAAGCACCTGCCGCTGTGCTGGGTGTAATGACTTAGTGGCAGTGTGTGTATCATAATCATCCTGCTTAACTGGAGGAATTCACACAATGGCCGAAACGTGCAGGGCTAAGCTGGCTTGTTGCTGGCCTCCTGACAACATTTCTTTCTCTCCCTTCACCTTCATTACTTCTTCTCTACTGCGCTCGCTCTGATGTCATCTGCATCAAAAGTTCCAGTGGCAGAGGTTGTCTTGTGACAACCACCTTGCAACAGTACCCATTGAGATCCCAGATAGCGGGGGCCACATTCTCCACTGCCTTGCATCCTGTGAGGTCATTTGCACCCTTTGCCCCCATTATGCAGTCACTTTGCACAGGTGTACAAAGCAGTGGAGAAGATCCCTGAGGATCTTCCTTGCATTACTCTGTCTGGACCCAGTGAGGACTCTAGCAATGCCGTGACAATGACCAGTGAGGACCCGCTGTGCAAGCTTCCTTATGCAGCGCCCTATTGAAGCCCAGCTGTTCTCTGTCAGTGCCCAGCCAGGGCCATCGGTAGGTGCTTCCTTCTTACAGCGCCCTGTCAGTGCACAGCAGAGCCCTGTTAGTACCTAGCACGGACCAGCTGTGGGGGGGTGCCTGACTGCAGTTCCCTGTCTCTCGTGCCCAGCCACAATTCCAGCACGCTGGCTTATGCACTGCAGTGCCCTGTTAAAGGTGATCAGGGCCCAGAGAGGAGCCTTTAGAAGAGCCGAAAAAGTTTTGCATGGACTTGTTTGAAACAAAACTGGCTAGTACTGGGGATTTCCTAATGGGAGTAACTTAATCCATTGGCGTATGCCTCGGGATGGTAGCATGACCATGCTACCTGGGAGAAACATTCTGAGCCTTCTGACATCTTTCTGTTGTTCTTTCAGTGCTGCTTTCTTTGCCTTTCATTCATTAAATTTCAAGCCTGCTTTGGGAGTAGGTGTAATGGCAGGTCCATCTTTCTGACAGCTGGAGAGAGAGAGAGAGAGAGAGAGAGAGAGGCTGCCTGTCAGATGGTGAATTTAAACAGAAACAGCTGTTGTCATGGTGACACCAAGTTGCATCCCATTGCTATGGTAACCAAAGTTAAAAAACTGATGTTAAGGCAGCAAAATCACATGTGATTCTTCTTTGTTTGAGAGAGAGAGAGAGAGAGAGATTTGGTTTCCAGTTAAGGCAAGGCTGGGTGGAGAAAAAAGATTTGTATACATATATGACTGCATATATGACAGGTAAAAACCACATGCATACAACGTATTAATATATGTATATATGTATAAATTACAATGGCCAAATTCAAACCTTATGTAGGTGGGGGCAGGCAGTAGAGTTGTGCCCACTTACACAGATCTGAATTTGGCCCTTCATGTAGATTTAGAGCGTGAACTTTTAGAAACATATACCATGTTTTTTTAATGCTTCCAGATACTAAGTCTGATTCCCCTGTAACATAGGCTGACCTAAATCAGGAATAACTTCATTAAAGTCAGCTAAATGGCACTGATGTGAAAGAAGGAGAATTAGGTTCAATAGCCCCAATCCTCCGGTATGATGGAGGTCTCTTCGCTGCAAGACATCGGTGTGAAGAGATGAGGAGGAGGGGCTAGGGTGATTGTACACCACATCTGTGCTCCCCCTATAGCCGGGGGCTGCTGTCAGCTTCTTTGGCGCTCTCTGCAATTTAGAGCAGCCTCTGCGCTTTTTTAGCTTGCATTGGCAGTAACAGCCCTGTCGAGGGCACAGCTCCAATTGAGGATTGCTGGAGTGCAGCACGCATCAGCCATACCTCTTCTTTTGGCCATGTTCTGACAGGCTCCC